AGAGCTATGCTGGATTCTCGCCCACACAGATGTGATGAAGGGTCTCCTCTCTAATGATTGTTTTGTCCCTGGTGAAGCTGTGTTCCTATGTTAGCAGTCCCTGCCTTAAGAGGTCCCACTGATACGACAGCACATTTCCTCATGTCTGTCTTCAATGTCTCCAACAAGTCTGGTACGATTTTACAATACAACGTGTGACAGAGTTTTAGCAGTGAAGACCATTGTGCATTTGCTGAAGCTGATTGCATCTGTCCCTCTGTGAAATTAGTTTGCAAGGTTTCAATTCAATTTCTGGTTGTGGATATGAATCCTCAACACAGAATTGCTGTCTTATTCAGCTTGAAACACCATGAATAGTGTACCATGCTCAAGAAGAATAGAGAGCGTGGGAAATGGAAGTGACACACTGAGTAGCTAATGTCACTTTTAGATTGCAGGGCTGAAGGCCAAATGAGTGGGAGGCACTGCCTCTAGAAGAACAGAGCGCTGTGTCAAGAGGTGGGTTCATCCCCAGCCTCTGGAAGGCACTGTTGCTGAAGGCAGAAAGCTAAAAGATCCCTCTCACAGCCCCTGGTAGAGTTGCCCACCAAGTAGTTTCATCAGTACTGGCTCTATCCTTGCAGAAGTGATCAATGCACTTTACTCTGTATGCAATTTCACAACGTAACGCAAACTTGAATCATATCAAAATGCATGGTTACATCATTTGGCCAAATACCCTTCCCATGAATGTCGATGTTCCTTCATATTGCATGGTTTCCCTTTCACTGAAGATGATTAGATCGGCTCAGGTTCCTTTGTCCAATGTAATTATCTTTACTGGAAGGTAAGCAATGACTGGAACAGGTTACGTGGAAAAGCCGGTTGAGGCCAGAGAACAGTCAGTCTTAAAAGCAGTCGCCGGTCTTAATTAGGAAGCTGATTTTCTACAGTTCATTTTTACGAACAGTTTTCAAATTTCAAGATAATGATCTAAAGCTTGAGAAACTGAGAATTTTAGGCTTGGCATCCAAATATGTCAATTAGAGCCTGTTGGCAAGAAGTGGAGAGAGAAGGTCAAGACTGAATGGTCGATCCTGTCTGTCTCTTCTGGCTGTTCCCATTCCCCTAAAAACTGCCATCATCACTCTCACTTTGAAAAAACCCTCCCTTGATGCGTCGCAGCTGTCAAGCTACCGGCCCATCTCCAACCTTCCCTTCCTGTCCAAGGTCCTTGAAAGAGTTGTCGTCTCCCAGCTGCGCTCTTTCTTCTCCAACCATTCATTATTCGAACCCCTTCAGTCGGGTTTCCGTGCTGCCCATAGCACAGAAACTGCCCTGGTCAAGGTCACCAATGACATCTTGACCATCTACGACCAGGGCTCCCTCTGCTTCCTCGTCCTCCACGACCTATCGGCAACATTCGATACGGTCGACCACGCTATCCTCCTCCACCGCTTGTCCTCCCACCTCAACCTTCAAGGCCCTGTCCTTGAGTGGTTTAGGTCGTACATCTCCCACCGTCTTCATTTTGTTTCCACAAACGGCTTTTCCTCCAGCCCCTGCACTGTCTCGTGCGGTGTCCCTCAGGGCTCTGTCCTCGGTCCCCTCCTCTTCACCCTCTATATGCTCCCCCTTGGTGACATCATCCGCAGACATGGGGTTAACTTCCACATGTATGCGGATGACACCCAACTCTACCTTTCCTCCTCTACCCTCAACTCCACGACCACCGATGTCCTGACAGCCTGTCTGTCCGACATCGAGTCCTGGACGAGAGACAACTTTCTTCAGCTCAACGTGCGAAAAACCGAGGCCCTCCTGATTGGCTCACGTCAGCGCCTCCGCACCTCAGGCGCTGACACCATCAGCATCCAAGGCTGCACTCTCCACCTCTCAAAGCCAGTCAGGAACCTCGGCGTTCTGTTCGACCCTGAGCTGTCCTTTCTTCCTCATATCCGCGCCACAACTGGCACCGCCTTCCATCACCTCCGGAACATCGCCAGACTACGGCACTACCTCACCCCTCACGCTGCTGAAACTCTGGTCCACGCCTTTATCACCTCAAGGCTGGACTATGGGAACTCTCTCCTCGCCGGCCTTCCCGGCACCTCCCTCCACAAGCTGCAGGTCATTCAGAACTCTGCAGCTCGTGTACTGTCCCGCACCAGGCTTCGGGACCACATCACTCCCACCCTCGCTCGCCTCCACTGGCTCCCCATCCCCCAGAGGATCGAATTCAAGATCCTCATCCTCACCTACAAGGCCATTCATGGCCTTGCTCCCTCCTACCTCTCCGACCTACTATCCCCCTACCTACCTGCCCGTACCCTCTGTTCCTCTGGCTCCAGTCTGCTCCACATCCCCGCCTCAACCGCCCTACCATCGGTGGCCGGGCCTTCAGCCTCTCAGCCCCTAGGCTCTGGAACTCCATCCCCCAGTGCCTTCGCCTTGCTTCCCCTCTTTCCTCCTTCAAGGCCGGTCTCAAGACCTTTCTCTTTGACCGTGCCTTCAGCTCCCCTCTCGACTCTCTACCCCCTCCTCGCTCCCTCCCTTCCCTCCCCTCACCCTGACCATTTCCCCCCTGCTCGGGTCCTGACCCAACTGTTCCACGCCTTTGGACCTCCTCCCGACGTGAAAGGCGCTCTATAAATGTAATCTTGTTGTTGTTGTTGCCCAGGTTTGAAACTACAAGAGTTGAAAACAAAGATAATTCCCTGCAGTTGTTTGATGCAATCCTCGGATACGCCCAAACACGAAGACCATTTTGACGTGTGTTTTATCAGTTTCACTGCTTTCTTCCTAATCTCTAGAGCAAGGGTTCCCAAACTTTCTGGGCTCAAGCTGCCCCCATGACATTAGCCATCCTGACTAAAGATCCCACACGATAAACCCATACAAATTGAGTACCTCACTTTAATTGCAAACAACATTTCAAAAGAATTAAAGAATATAAATATAAAGTAATGCTTACAATGCTAATGTGAATGCACTCCAGACCTTTTGCCTCATGCACTCAACAACAATTTCACGTGGGGCAGTGTCTTGAATACCTAGTGCACCTTGTAACCCCCCACCCACCCACCCCCCACCCCACCCCCAAAACCATCTCGTGGACCCCTAGGGATCCGTGGACCCAGTTTGGGAACCAATACCATAGTGAATGTCAAGATATTTTTAAGGGTTAAACTGAGTAGAACAATGCTCATTTTACCACATCCTCTTTGCCTTTCAGTTTATGATTATCTGTGTATTGAAGCAGCTATTAGTGTTGGTGATAGTAAAGAGCACTTATCAGTGAGCTGTATAGTCTGTGTCTGAGTTTGTTTCTTTGCTCACAAGGTCAGACAAGCTGGTCTTTGAGATTTTGTATTTTTGGAGAACAAAATACAATGGTCATCCATACACGCTGCTCTACCTGATGGCTCAGTGGTTAATTTCAGCCCCGCATGGCAAATTTAGCCACACATGATGCAAGCCCAGTTCCAGTCGGTTTCCGTGAGCACAAAGGTTGACAGTGGACCCCCACACAACGCTGGCCTATCACCAACTCTGGGTCTAAAACTCCACCTTGTCTCAGCCCCCAAACACTATTTTATCTTAAAGTTAACCACAGAGCAGAATTGTGGAAGATTCTCAAATCTAGCCTTAAATCTTTCTTTTGTAAGAACTGGAAAACCGGCTTCAAAACTAAACCTGAATTTAAAGAATTTTTGTGTGATTGGTAATTTTAATTCAAAATGGTCATATAGGCAAACGATGATAATAACAATAATAATTTACCTTGTATTTGATAGAACGCCTCTCTCATTGGGAGGGAATGTCTCAAAATGCTTCACAGCCTAAATTGTAAAGCATAGTGACTGTGTTTTGTGGGCGACTAAGTGGAAATTTCAGATCTTATGTCTCAATTCATACATTTGAAGAATGGTCACTTCAATGAATCTAAGAGGACTGCCCCAGCTGATTTGAACTCAGCCCAAATCAATGTCTTCAGTCAAAAATTGGAGAGAATTTTTTTTGTATTACTTTATAGTAACCTATTATATTATTTATGATATTGTGACTGCATTACTTTCTTGGGAGGAGACACATTTTGTGTTCACCAGGGCAAGATATGTTACGTTTTTTGGGTGTCCAACATGTGCAAAAAATTAACATCACCTTGCTTAAGAGTATCCAAACCAGACCTTTGTTCCCCTTAGAGAATGGAACTCATTGCAATTTCAGTAGCCCCAGTGTTGGCATCAAGCACTCCCAGTTCAATTATAGGCATAGAGTAAAGCTTGCTCGATTTACCCCTTCAATGTTTCACACACAAAATATACAGTCAAATCACTTTACAGTATATTCTGTGAAGTGCTTTGAGATGTCTCGAAGACGTGATAAAGCGCTATATCAAATACAAGGATTATTATTACAATGTGTCTTTGATTTACCTGGCTCGATTTACCTTAATTGTGTCTTCATAGCGATACCCTTTCCCACAACAGCCATCGTATGACTTCTGTAAGTGAATTGACAATTTGTGTCAATTTAACAGTAACTTTATACTGTGGGTTCAACCCACATTACGAATTGACAGTAACAAGCGTAGAATCAGATGCATTTACTGGTCAAGCTTGATAAAGTTACAGAAAACTATCCCTAGTACTGTACATACAATGGTTTGATGTATCAGCTGTGCTGCCAAGCCTAATACTGTAAATGCACTCCCAATGGTGTGTGTGTGTTATATATCTAATACAATGTATTTCTGTCTGGGCTCATATTGGAAGAATAGCTGCAGTTTGGGGGCGGGGTATCAGAGGACAGCAGACAGGAACTGGGAGAGGGAACAATCTTCTCTGTTCAGAATGGGATTAGATTTCACGTTCCTGGCTCAGCAGCGATTATACCTTATCGTTAACCCGAGGCTATTTGCTTATTTCCTGGTTACTCCAGCTCAAACTTTCCTTGACCACTTGTTTGTAATTGTTACGATCCACTAAACCTTTTCTCTTCTTCCCGTGGGAGTGAAGGATGACAAACGAGGTGCCTGAGCATTACAAAGAAGAGGGAGAACTGACGATTTACAATTACGGCTACTTCATCAGAGGAGCAAGTACCACCTTCAGCGGTGTTGATAGGTTGGTTTAGTCTCAGCAGATATTCCTGTTCATTCACTTTTTCTTCCCGACGTCTTCATCACATGCTAACGTTTTTAAAACAGATCAGTTTTCAATTTCCCCCCAAATAAAATGATAGTAAATAATTTAAAAAATCAATCACTCAATCCAGGACTGTTTGTGGGACGCTCCTGTGCGCAATTGGCTGCCACACTTTGCACACAAAATATACAGTCAATCCACTTTACAGTATATTCTGTGAAGTACTTTAAGACGTCTTTATGACATGATAATGCGCTATATCAAATGCAAGGATTATTATATAATAGAAGCTTAGAATGATAGAATGTTTCATCACAGGAGAAGACCTTCCTCTGGCACTTTGCAAGTTCTATCTTTCATACATTTTATTATATATTTTTTGAGATATTTGTCGTTTCCCTTTTAAAAGCTGTTGTGGATTCTCCTGCAATACAATACTATATATATATATATACATACATAAATATAAACTAGAGCTTGTTGGAGAACTGGGAAACTGGAGTTAGTGCATGTACATCAGGACCACAGTAAAGCCCTAGTTACTTTGAATTGCTCTGTAACCAATACAAGTTGACAAGATCGGACACTGTTAGATTCCAACACCAGCATAACATGCCCGGTATCAGTACCAGCCCAAACTTACAAACTTACCTTGTTGTGAGTTGGCTATTTTTCTCAACTCTGTATTGAGCAATTTCCTTAATCACTCTGAACTTACACATTTTGCTTGAAATCAAACTGTTGGCAGCATTGCTGAAGTTGACTAAATTAGTCAAGACCCTGCTGTTTAATTAAAAAGAATTGACTCTCAAAGCAACTGTTTACCTATTGATCTTGAGATAAATGTTTTTGCGATCTTACTTCCTCTTTTGTTCCACTCCGACATGTTTCACCCCTGTATGAGGGTGGCGACATTGAACCGCACAGACATCCCATTTCTAATACACTCTTTATGTGTTATTTCTAGGGACCGCCAGTGGAAATACATAATCTGCAGGATGACTGAATTTGACTGTGACTTCACCAATTTGTAGGAGCCATCACAACTTGAAATTGATCCAAAACAAAGACATGTTTAGCAAAACCATCTCCTGTTAAAAATTACTCCTTCTAACTCTCTATTCTATACGCAGTTTCTTTGGGGAATTTCTTTTTAATATGTGTGAGATGAGCCATTGCAGACTACTACCTATCTTCTAACACAAACATGTTTTTCATATTATCGTTGTTATTACTGTACACATATTGTAAGGAACAGCATGATATAATACAGCTAGAAGTCATAGGTATTCATTCCTTTGCTGAGTTTAAAGATCGAAATATTTTGGCATAATAGGCTTCTGTCATCAGAAATTTCTTGTTTCCAAGCCAGAAATTCATTTATAAACACATCACTCTGCGTGGAATATTTGATGACAAACTCACTACCTGTTCACTGTGAACCCTTCAACTAATGTGATCTTTCCAGAGTTTAAACAGTGTGATCTGCGTTTAGGATCTTCCATTATCAAGACCACACTATTTGAATTCTTCACAAATAGCATCACTGAAATGTATTATTGCTATTTGTAATAGTTTAGAACAGATTACGATTGCTCACCACCTTACTGAGATAAACATGATCTTTTAACGTCAGGCCAATCTCCCCAGCACATAATTGTTAAATCAACTGCAATGTGCAGGGATCTGAGCCATATGGAAGTTTGCAGGTTTGCAAGTTTTTACTGGGGTAGCAATTGGGGCACTATAGTTAACCCGATGCGATTTGGAATGGATGGAGTGTGAGCATGCAGGATTGGGTGAGGACAGGATTGGGCACAGCTGTGGTGCCCTCCACATTTTTCCAATGATCTGCTAACACTCTACACTCAGACATGAAGATTGATCACTTGGGGATTCAGCAAGGTGGCTGGCACTTGCAGAACTGTCCTCCAGGAGACATCAATGCCTTCAGGTGCAATGGGGAAAATAACAAATATAAAGATTTTCACAGTGTAGGCAAAGAGGGTTTTGATCAAAAAATGGCTATTTTTAAAGAAGATCTTAATTCTGACAGGAAGCTTAACCCTATCATCATTACTTATTTGTGTCTCATTGTGCAATTTGCTTTCGAAACATTTTCTCTGGACTTTTTCAAAGCACTTCCTCTATACTTTAGTTGATCTGTTCCCAACTACAAATCAAAATTGCACAATAGGTTTTCATTGTAAGGCTTGAAAGCGTTCGGGGTAATGCTTAACTCTTGTGAAAGGACACTTTGCTTTTCAGACTACTTGAAGTCTTGCAGCTTGACCTTTTAAAATCTTAGTAGTGCCCCTGATTGGAAAACAGGTTCCTACTTTGCATCTCATTATTACAGCTGAAGAAGCAGTCACTAGGCTGCATCCCAGCATATATTATTGTGCTTCTTTTATCAGGAACATTGCACTGTTGGATACAAACAGAGCTGACAACAGTGGTGTTTCAAAGTACCCATAATAATAAGGGACCCAATCACTTTATACATTAAAATGTATCTTTTGTAAACAAATCCGTAGGATAAGGTAAAAGAAAAACATATTTTTTAAATAGTTTTCTGTTTATTTGACAAATTAACTAAAAGAAAAGAAACTAATAATCAAGGCAATATTAATTATATAGCACATGGCAAAGTACAATGCTGTATGCATTCTGCCAAAAGATTAGAACATGAGGGAAATTAAGGGCACTAATCACTGATTATATTGTATCCAATTAATCTGCATCTCATAAGTATTTTCCTTTCATTAAATCTAAGATCGTTTCATCTTTTACTGAATTCCCAGTGTGATGTTCAAAACTGAACTTCTGTTGGCCACTCATAAATTAGGATTCTATGATAGTCTTACCATGATTTATTTTACTTTGTTTCAAATGCAAATTGTAGTCTGTATTGATGGGGTGAAACAAATGCAATGTTTCATAACAGATCCTGTAACACATACTATACATGCGGATTCTGTTATGAATCATCGCATTTTACACTGAATGTTCATTTCTTGGGATTAAATTGAATGTCAAAGAGTCTTAACAACTTGAGTAATCCAGACAGAAACCCAAATTTCAGTGTGGAAGAGAAGAGATTTCTGATAGCAATGGCATTTGTAATCATTTGTTGGCTAATTTAGTTCACAGTTTGACAAGCACAGAATGGAATTCATTCGAAGAATTTGGGTAATTGGCTAAAGCCATCTTAAACCCTGCTTACTAAACATAACAGATTTCAGATTCTGAATTATTAGTATTCACAGCATGAATTTACCACCTTACTCCATCTACACTGCAGTTCTGAACCTATGCATTCTCCCAGCTGATGCAAAAATCTATATATAATAGTTAGTCATGCAATATACTCATACATTTAGTTAAGCAAATGTTTGAACCAAGCAAGAAGATTTCAACGGTGTCAAAAGCTATTTTGTTTGACTGAGGTATGATAGCTTCTTACGTATATACCCTATAGATCTGTAAAATTTGCTTAATTCTGCTTAATTAAAACAAAATGAAATGGTATTCCATGCTCAGTGTGTACTTACTTTTTCTCGGAAAGCAAGACTAATTATAGTACATTGTACCAACTCCCATTCTCGCAGCCCATTCATTATCACATTCCGGCTGTGTTTTAGTTTTCAGGCCTGTGACTAAAGGGGAGGGAGAGGATTACTACCAGAGGGTAGTTTCATTCCAAAATTAAAGCCTTGAATTTGTTTTTATTTTCTCACGCCATTGTGTCCATATACTTGATGGGGGAAACCAGTGACTTGCCTCACTCCCTATGAACAGGTTATTTTTTAACACCTAGAAATGAAATGTTTCCTTGCTTTGTGGTTGCCATGGTAAACAATGGGGTATGGACTCCAAGGGCAATGTGATAACAAGACGTTTAATGAACATAACATTTTAATACTCCAGCACAACAGGACAAGAGCACACAGGTTCAATATTTGTTTAGATACAATGCAGTCAACAGTTGGAACAGATGATAGAAGCATTTACTTATTTAAGAAATAGCAGAATGAAATGCTGCATTGGGAAGATGGTGGGCTGGATATTCTGAGATCCATGAGTGGAAGGGCATTCTTTGCCCAGGTCTCTTTGAGATGAAATCTACAATTTGTGTCCCAATAATGGAGCTGGAATCAGCAGAACTAAACAGTAAAAGATGACCGCTTGGAACTTGATTGCACTTGTCTCTTGATCAAAAGGTTGTGTGTTCAAGATTTAGGCTGGGACTACGGTCGGTAACCTAGTCTGATGTACGACTGGGTGAGTGCTGCATTGTTGGAAGTACTGTCCTTCAGATGAGACATTAAAAAACAAGTTTCTGCTCAAAAAGAGAAGAGTTTCTCTTGGTATCCTGTCCAACTGCCTTCAGATAAATTGATCATTCATTTCATGATTGTTTGTGGGATCTTGCTGTGTGCAGCACTGTGTAATTTTTTTTCCCCCAGTGTTAATTTTCCGTAGTCCTTAAAAATATGGTTCCGACGTGGATTAACATCAATGGTCCTTCAAGGGTTAACACCATTTCCTACACCAGCTATCTTAAGCAAACAAGCAAGCAAACAAGGTCAGCCAGTGTCTCTGGTGCATGATATGAACAGGATAATTGCATGGGATGCAAGTGACCACCCAGAATCTGACAGCACCCACTCAGAACTGGGAGTGTTTGAAACTCGTTCAGTGTTAGGATCCTTCCAGCTGACTTCTTAGTGACCTCCCCACCTGGACTAAAAGGATAGCATTCATGCTCACCATAGTATCAAACCTGCAATAGTATCGTCATGCGGAAAAAGTTACAAGTGTTTTTCCCAAAAATGTTTTCACAAACTCTCATGAATTACAGAGAGCCAAAGAAAATAAATGAGGTAAAAGGAAATTGAAGAGCATGAAGCCACCCCGTCTGGGCTTCTACGTTTTTGTCTACATCTCCAAGGTGCAACTACAGCTTTGTAGCTTCTGTGTGCTTACACTAGGTTTGCGGGATTGATAGCATACGCTGCCTTCTTCTATACAGAATACACTTGACAGTGCTATAGGTTTAAGACCGAAGTTCGTCAGTACATGCCTCTTATTTAGTAGAATAAACCAAGAACAACAACTTGCATTTATACAGCCCTTCATTCATTTTATTATCTCAGAGCATTGTACAGTGGTGGGTTTGAATATCAAGCAAGGGAGAACGGGAGGTGGCCATGGGCACTGTTGAAGAGATACGTCTTACTGTGGCATTTAAAGATGGAACAAAGAATAGAGCGAGGCAAAGGGATTGAGTCTGGGATTTCAGAGGTTAGATACAACCACCAATAGAGGCATAGAGGAGTTGGGGGACGAACAGCAGGCCTGTGCCAGCTGAGTGAAGGGGGTGGGCAGAGGATTTTTATGGGTATGATCAGATCAGAAAAAAAAGCATTATCATAGGGCATTTTTTCCACATTGTTAAATGTGTCATATCTTAGACACTAAACTATGAGAGATGCAATCATGCATCCATGCGGGAAGAATCCTATAATCAATTGGGCAGATCAGGATTATTCACAAGAGTACTGTGTTCAACTTGTGGTCTAGATTCTATGTGAACTAGACAGGAAGAGTTAAATTTAACTTGGTGATGTTTTTAAACTGATGCCCATTATTTCTGGGTGAGGTACTATTTACCAAAAGGCCTGGTAGCTCAAGTAAAAGCAATAAATAAATCCAATGCACCATATCCAGTGGTTAAATGCATAATCACAGTTATTTAGGTTTAGAGGATTTTAACTCTGCTCCACATCCTACGTTGGTCGTTGTCCAAGAGTATCTCTTGAACTCTACAAGTTATTTAAGGTCTTATTTTACTCGTACTTTGAGCTGGTATAATGTCTATACACAAATGATGGGTGATTTATATATGGTCTCTGATTTATATTCGGTCTCCTTTTCTGGCACTTCTTATTTAACATGGAAAATGCTGTTGTGTTAATAACAGAAAGCACTCAAATGTGTCCATGTGCTTCACCCCCATACACGCCCATCAAAGGTGAAAGGAAGAGCCAAAAAAAACGACACAAGGCAGTGTTTTCACAATGCAGATGCTTCCTTACTGATCATAAAAGCTTGCAGGAGCAAGGGTGGTCTGTTTGCTATTAGCAGCAAAGACTCCAACCTTGTAGGCTATGAAAATACAGTGAAGGAAATTGCTGATGAGATGAGTGCCAGGTGTAAAGAGGTCACCACGTAAGTTGTTTTTAATGGTTTTCGAAAATGCCATCAACACTAAGCCAAGCATCAGATTTAGACAATATTAGAACCATAGAATTTTACAGCGTGAAAGAAAGCCATTTGGCCCATTGTATCTGTGTTAGCTCTTTTAAAGAGCAATCCTTGTTTTTTCCCCAACCACTTGCCCCTTTCCCGTGATGTTTACTTTAATTTCTACCTCATCTACCACACCATATTTTTAAAAATCCTTCCCTACAGTAGTAGTAATTCTCCCAACAGGGAGATTGGTCCCAGCCCTGCTCAGGTGTAGTCAGTCCATCCTATGGCATTTTCCACGGCATTGGTTCCCACAGTGGGGGAGGGGAAGGAGGTGGATGGGGTTAGTTTTGCTTGGAAACTTGGAACTCCATGATGCTGACCGGCAGGAAGACCTACCAACTCAATCTATACCCCGAATCAAATTCCCCCGCGTCAGACTGATAGGCATGATTTACTTCCAGTTACCAAACAAGTCTGTACATAATGCAACACTGACCACTTTTATTTGTAGACGGAAGGAGGAAACATTTTTGCAACGGATTGTGGAATTGTAAGAAACATATTATTTTGCCTTGTCTTCCATAATGTTTTTCGTTACTGTTTTACAGTCAGTTTTAAGACTAGAGCTATAAAAACAACATTCGTGCACATGATTTTAATTTCAAATTGCAGTTTCTTTTTTATTTCAACAGAACAGGTTGTCCTTGGAACATCCTCCCGACGTGAAAGACGCTATACAAATGTAATTTTGTTGTTGTTGTTGAAGTTCAGGGAACTCGGCACAATGGCAAATTAAGTCATTTCTGCAATGTGTCCTATTATAACTCATCCAAATGTACTGCAATGCTCCAATTGGGAGTTATGTAAGCTCAACATTCCTGTGAAGAATATAACAGAAGAAATTCTATTATGTGTTTCTCTAAGAATCAGGGGCCCATAAACAATGCTTGTTTTATTAATGGGCTTAGCATCAGGATGAGGGATTCAAACTGTAGTGCAGCAGTCATGCTTATAAACATTAATGTTCACAATGCTCTACCACAATGTTTATAAGTATTTTCTACTGTCATTTAAAATCAGAGACTTGCTTCATCAATGACAAGTTGCACCTGAAAACTGAAATTGTATGAATTCAACTAGCTTCGTCCTTAGTTGTGGATTGTGGGTTCAAGCTACACTTTGGGGCCTAAGCTAATGGTACAGGTTGATGCTCCAGTGCATTACTGGGGGAGCCATGCATAGTATTGATTTTTGGAACAGATGTTAAACCAAGGTCCTGTCCATCTCTTCAGGTGGCTGTTATAACAAAACAACAACAACTTGGATTTATATAGCGCCCTCCATGCCGGACGGCGTCTCAGAGCGCTTCACAGTTTAGGATCCCAGGACCGAGCCAGGGGGAGGGGTGGGAAGGTGACCAAAGGTGCGGTCGAAAAGAAAGGTCTTCAGCAGAGACCTGAAAATGGGAATGGAGGGAGCAAGACGAAGGGAGTGAGGAAGGCAGTTCCAGAGCCTCGGGGCATAGTGGCTGAAGGCATGGCTGCCGAGGGTGAAGCGGAGGACTTGGGGGACAAGGAGGAGGCCAGACCCGGAGGAATGAAGGCAACGGGTACTGTGCTGAGGAGAGAGGAGGTCAGAGAGGTAGGGGAGTGCAGAGGAGTGCAGGGATTTGAATATGAGGGTGAGGATCTTGAAATCGATCCTCTCTGGGATAGGCAGCCAGTGCAGTCTGGCAAGGACTGGGGTGATCGGGGAGCGGAGTTTCGTACGGGTGAGAATGCAGGCGGCAGAGTTCTGAATGAGTTAGATTTTATGGATGGTAGTGGATGGGAGACCAGCGAGGAGGGCATTTGAATAGTCCAGCTGGGAGGTGACAAAGGCATGGACCAGGGTTTCAGTGGCTTTTGGGGAGAGGTATTGGCGGCTGTAGGTAATTGTTATGCCACCACCAGTACCCTGACGAAGATCAATTAGTTCAGACCAGACCAGGGGATAATCCTTCCAAATTGTACATCTAGGCACCATGTCACACAGAGAAGTTACCCACTGGGCCATTAGTGGAGAAGCAATGATTTGTATTTCATGTGCACATCAAAATTAAGAAAGGAAATTTGAAGCAAACAATTATCCCTCTGCTTAAAATGATTTTAATTGTAAATAATGTACACGAATAACAAAAAGACTTGTTTTACAATTTAAAATATATCTGAAATACTGCTACCTAACAGCACTATGATTTCGGACAGAATATCAATGATAACTAGTGTAAAAAG